TTGACTACCTTTGATATTGGAAGGTGCTCAAGCTTGACATCATTGCCAAATGAATTCGGCAACCTCACATCTTTGACAACCTTTGATATACAATGGTGCTCAAGCTTGACATCATTGCCAAATGAATTGGGTAACCTTACGTCTTTGACTACCTTTGATTTAAGTGGGTGGTCAAGCTTGACATCATTGCCAAATGAATTGGGCAACCTTACATCTTTGACTACCTTAGATATGGAATAGTGCTCAAGCTTGACATCATTGCCAAATGAATTGGGCAACCTCACATCTTTGACTACCTTAGATATGGAGTGGTGTTCAAGCTTGACATCATTGCCAAATGAATTGGGCAACCTCACATCTTTGACTATCATTGATATAGGATGGTGCTCAAGCTTGACATCATTGCCAAATGACTTGGGCAACCTCACATCTTTGACAACCTTTGATATCGGAAGGTGCTCAAGGCTGACATCATTGCCAAATGAATTGGGCAACCTCACATCTTTGACTAGGTTAAATATAGAATGGTGCTCAAGGTTGACATCATTGCCAATGAATTGGGCAACCTTACATCTTTGACTACCTTAAATATAAGGGAGTGTTCAAGACTTGACAACACTACCAAATGAATTAGGTAACATCACATCTTTGACTACCTTACATATGGGATGGTGCAATAAGTTGACATCATTGCCAAATGAATTGGGCAACCTTACATCTTTGACTACCTTAGATATATATGGGTGTTCAAGCTTGACATCATTGCCAAATGAATTGGACAACCTCACATCTTTGACTACCTTAGATATGGAGTTTTGCACAAAGTTGACATCATTGCCAATTGAATTGGGCAACCTCACATCTTTGACTAGGTTAAATATAGAATGGTGCTCAAGGTTGACATCATTACCAAATGAATTGGGCATGCTCACATTATTAACTACCTTAAATATGAAGTGTTGTAAAAGCTTGACATCATTGCCAAATGAATTGGACAACCTTACCTCTTTGACTACATTAAATATAAGGGAGTGCTCAAGCTTGACAACACTACCAAATGAATTGGGCAACCTCACATCTTTGATTATCTTAGATATATATGGGTGTTCAAGCTTGACATCATTGCCAAATGAATTGGGCAACCTCACATCTTTGACTACCTTAGATATGGGGTTGTGCACAAAGTTGACATCATTGCCAAATGAATTGGGCAACCTTACATCTTTGACTACCTTAAATATAAAGAGTGTTCAAGCTTGACAACACTACCAAATGAATTGGGCAACCTCACATCTTTGACTACCTTAGATATAGGGTGGTGCAATAAATTGACATCATTGCCAAATGAATTGGGTAACCTTACATCTTTGACTACCTTTGATATGCATGGATGTTCAAATATAACATTTTTATCAAATGAATTAGGCAACTTGACATCTTATTTATGTGACCAATCAAATATTCATAAATTGGATGAAGCATTTGATGAGACTATACAACCTATTGTTCACAAATTCGATAAAGCATTTGATGCGAGTATACGACCTAGTGTTCTCAAATTGGATGAAGCATTTCATGTGAATATACAATCTATTGGTCACAAATTAGATGAAGCATTTGATGCGACTATACAACCTAGTTTTCACAAATTTGATGAAGCATTTGATGTGACTGTTGACCAATCAAACGTTCACAAATTGGATGAAGCATTTGATGCGACTATACAATCTAGTGTTTACAAATTGGATGAAGCATTTGATGCGACTATACAATCTAGTGTTTACAAATTGGATGAAGCATTTGGTGTGACTATACAATCTAGTGTTCACGAATTGGATGAATCATTTGATGCGACAATACAATCTAGTATTCATGAATTAGATGAAGCACTTGATGTGACTGTTGACCAATCAAACGTTCATGAATTGGATGAAGCACTTGATGCGACTGTTGACCAATCAAACTTTCACGAATTGGATGAAGCATTTGATGCGACTATACAATCTAGTGGGATTGATGCAAAATCCTCACTATCTATTTGGATAATTAAGGAATTTGCTGCAGTTGGGGACTTCACAACTGCAAACAACGATGTTGTTTCAAACTCTAATCAAGCAATTTTATTTCAATTGCAGTCGAAGGACTTACCCAGCAAGCGTCCATTAGGCAAAGGCTTAGCCGGCTACGGATATGAGACAACATGGAAAAAAAAGAGGTTTGCAAGAAAAGTTTTCGTTGGAGTACCGAGGATTATCTTTGAGAGAGAGGCAGTTGCCTTGATAGCTCTTGATGATCACATGAATATTGTGAAAACATATGGCTGGACTACTGACAAGAGGAGTTGCTCCCTTGTCCTAGAGTACATGGATGATGATCTTTTTAGCTTATTACACAAGAGAATTGAGGCTAAACACGATCTAGTTGGTTTAAGAGCCGACACGCAACCTTGCACGTCGACTACCCCGGAGCCTTTTGACCTACCGCAGGCAATTTACATTATGTTGAAAATTGCCACAGGCATGAAGATCCTGCACGAGCAAAGAATTGACCACGGGGATCTAAAAACAAAGAACATTCTTGTCTCTTATGCGAACCAAAGAGATCCGAATTTCATGACAGTGAAAGTAGCCGATTTTGGTCTTGTTTGCTCCAAAAGAAAAAGCGAACTGATTGTTTCACGTCAGGCACATAAGCTGGATATGGTCAAGTGGAAAGCACCAGAGTATTTGAAGGTACAATTCAAAAACTTCACTTCATCTTGCAATCAAGATGAAGCTTGTTCAGAGTCGGATTCCAGTTCGGAATCCGAGTCAGAAATGGAAGGAAGCTCAAATTCTCCAGTCATCAATGTGAGGCTCCCTGGAGTTGATGTCTTTGCAGCCGATGTTTACAGCTTCGCTCTGATATGCTCTCATATCTTGACTGGGAATGATCCATATCCAAATATGAACTGGAAGAAATTGGGGGTTAAAATCTTGTCTGGCCTGAGACCCAACTTGCCCACTACATGCCAACCCTGGTTAAGAGACCTTTTGCAATCATGTTGGGCTGAACCTGATCGACGACCTTCCTTCTCCGAAATCCATACGAAATTGGAACATTTTCATGGCGAGTTACTCTGAATAGATAGTGGATTCCAGCTTTTGTACTCATTCAAAGTTGTTGATCATTGTAACTTTGATGACTTAAACAGCTGTGAGACTATTGTCAAAGTACAGTGCAACTCTTGTTTTGCTTATTGTTCGTATCTGGTTTCTTTTTGCTTGTATTCATGTTCGATGATAAATTGGGAATATGGTGTACGGCACTTCCGAAACGCTCGAGTAGAAAAATTCTGATGGCGATTTTGTCGGAATGAATGAGATCCTTCTGCGAAGATTGGGGAGATGATTGGATCTATAACAAAGTCGGGTCTTGCGCAATTACTTCAATTACATGGACATCCACATAAAATGGTGCATGAAAGTGATGAAGTATTCAGTCCCTTGGAGCAAATGTGTGGTGTCTCCAGTACTTCAAATTGTGGCAAGGATAGTTCGAGTTCTATGACTGACAGTTCAATGCGTGAGTGTGTAGCAACTAGTGCAGCCCAAAAAATACAGAAAGCATTAAGAAGCCATAATGAGAGAAAACAACAATTGTCGGCTAGTCAAATCCAGCAGGACAGGAGTTGGAAGGTGCAGAAGGATTTTTTGAACCTGCGCCAACAAGTAGTGAGAGGACGATATGGGAAAGTTTATGAAGCTACTTGGCTTGGAGGCATGTCCGCTATGAAGTCCATGCCGCGGTTGGAGGAGGGCTTAGGCATTTCTTTGGGAAGTGCCAAAAGTGTACTTCTCGTCCGTAGTTAAGGTATCAAAATTCCGCGGTTCGGCAGCAATCAGGTGTTCCATAGAAACTTCACATAGAAGCCATTAAATCTATTTTTTGATAGATTGCTGTGTATTTCAACTTTTGGTGGTTTACCTCGGCCCTTCAAAGCTGGTGAAACGCAGGTAGGTCAGAATGTTTTGAACTCTCGCACTGAAGAGGCACACAGCAGTATACGATGTAGAAACTAAACGTTTCTTCGATTTGAAATGCTGGTTTGTGAGCTTTGTGATGCCGGATGTCCGTGTCATCCATCGCCATTCTGTACTTACTGGTTTGAGGTATGAATCCAAAAATTCCACGTGAGAATTCTTTTGTAAGCTATGTTTAAGATAACTGTCTGTACCATATCAATCACTCACAAGATGGAATTGAACACTGAAGGTTAAACTAATTATGAAATCAAAGCAACCTAAACAAGATGGTTTATAGTAAATAATTAAAAATAACTCTACCACCTAAGGCCCAAGAAATTCCTTAAATTGAGATGGAAAAGCCACCAACTTTCAAATTCTTTAGCTGAATTTGTCAGCACACCTAGTGCTTTGCATGTAATAATCATTTCAGCCAAAGATCATATTAGCAATAGACTACTGTAAGACTAACGTCATCCCTATATCACATCCACACTGCTTGACTGTCGTAACCCTAAGAAAGAAATGCTTCTATTAGCTCTACACTGGAATTAACGGAACCAAACGCGAACTTCTTCAAGGGAGTTTCCCTCTTCTGAAAGATGGTCACTTACAGACGGCTCTGAAGTGCTCAGTGTTCTCTATTCAACATAATGACCAACTTGGGCAAGCGAATCTAAATGTGTAAAAAATAATTCAAATTTAAATGCCTTCTCCATGCTCTCCAACGACCACCAATAATCATTTAATCCTTACTTCCCTGCCCTCATCGTTAAGTCCGGCCGAGGTTGCACCCAATCAAATACTGAGACAGTACAGCCACCGAATACTGTAAACAACGATGATTGCGGGGCCCCACAATTTCGTTCCGACACTCGTAACCTCCGTTAATCGAAGCGGGACACCTAGATATTTGCAGCTACAACAGCTTCATGTTCATATCCATTAAGCACTGACAGAAATCGGTTCCTCTGCTTTGACAAATACAGACCAGACCTTGAAATGCTCCACCAGAATTGACCAAGTTCTAACGCTGACGGATATCCTCGGGTAGTAAACCGTGTCCCAGGTCTTCCACCTCCAGAGGGAAAAAAAAAAAAAAAAAAAAAAAACGATTCGAAATTATAGATTTTCAAAACAAATTAAAAATGAGAATAAAATATAAATTTGAAGTTTGAACAGATCAATCTGACTTCGACGCAGACAAACAGTGACGTAAGAAATTATCAGGCAGAGCCGACCAAACTCAGAGGGTGCGACGCCATCTCTGACTCACGTAGATTCGGCCAAGCACAGAATGTTACTCCTCGAAGTCCCCACCGTTCACGGCACTAACTTGGAGACAACGACCAACCCACGACGGGACTGTCTTGCTCGTGGCCTCTGCCAGACTCACTGCGACGAAGCTGACACTGCAACAAAACCTGCACAATATCATCAAACTCAAGTCCTGATGAACTCAAACCCTAATCTGGAAGTCAAGTTCATTGAACGTAGAATCTCCGATCATCAAAAGCAAGATCAATCACTCCCGAGTTTGAAGAAGTTGCCACTTCCGCTAATGAAAAGATCAGAAAAGGTGAAAGGTGGCATGGAAGATGGTGGCTTGGGAGGGCAGCAATTGTAGTGTTCATTCTTTTCTATTTAAAGTCAACTTTTTTTTATCATGTATGTAAATAGATTTTCAAATTCATGGTGCTCGACTGGCGTTGGAAAGAGTTTTATCCCACTTATGCAATCTAAATTTAAGTTAAGGTTTTTTTGAAAAGAAAGGTTAAGATTATTGGAATTAGTTACAATCTTGTTTCAATGCTTGGATGGCTAACATGACTTGTGTGGACATGATATAAGGCAACCCAAAATCTAAAATAGTGGTAATAGAAAATACCAAGTTTAGGTTGAGCATGAGACATGATTTGTAAAGAACCACTAGTACAAAAGACATGTTTGACAAACTACGTTACAAAAGATACAATTATATAGAATTAAGTAGACAAAGGTCTTATAGAAATTGATCTTTATAAGAATAATTTATGAAAAATGTTTATTTTAGGTATTTCCATAATTTTAGAAAATACTAAACTTCTAACATTATATCAACTTATATCATCCTATATCATCTTTTTAAAAATCGACTTATATCATCTTTTTGAAATAAATTTTGACACTCTTTCACATAAATTGTAATTTTATGTAAATTTGTAATAATTATTATTTTTGTGGTTGGAAGCCTTTGAACTTAGTATTTGAACAATTGTTTCATCAACTTCAAAGGTAGTTGGCTTATGCTCTTTTCTTAAGAACACCCTAAGACAAAAGCATATTCTTCATCAAATTAAATAGCTTAGAAATAAAAAGGATTCTACAATTACTTAATTTTTTTGAACTATTTATTTAATAAGCACATTTTAAAAAGTATATCCATTTCTTCAACTACAAAATAAATTAATATTGTAATCTCTAATTAAAATAAAAGAGTGTTTTATTTTAATTTAAAATATAAGAAATAAAATAAAATAAAATAAAAATCTTGTATCAATCAAGAAGCTTTAAACTTAAATCTAAAATATTATGAGATTAGCCATCTCAAATAGATAACAATGACTTAACAATTGCAATAGAAAAAGATTGACAAAATAAAAGAAATTTTCATCTCTAAAATTTATTCTTATCTAAATAAATTAAAAGTACTTTTGTCATACTATTTAGTTGAACATACAACAATTTTAACCATAAATTGAATATATAGCCTAGTAGTATAATCTTGTAAGACAAGTGATACATCTCTTAGAATTAAAAGCATATAATACACAAATAAAAAAAATCTAAAGCAATTAAAATAATAATAATATTATAAATAAATCAATATTAATATATTATTCTAATAAAGTGAAAGTAACTAACGAAATAGGAAGGCTTCATATAAAATCAACCAATACAACCAATCTAATATTACTAAAATCTAAATGAAATCCATTATAGTTGTTATGAAACTTTTCTAAGTTATTAAAAAAAAAATGTAATATTTTATTTATTTGTTTATTTTATTGTATTATGTATTTTATTTATTTATTCATTTTATTGTATTATGTATTTTTTTTATTTTATGTTTTCTACAACACATCAATTTCAAGCCAAAAATATTTAAAATGGATATCTCAAGTATTTTACAAATCAAAACTAGATCAAAAATATTTTGGTCTTATAGAACTAAAATAAACTTTGTTACAGTAATTCATTAAAATATCCTATTATTGTCTCAATAGTATTATTTTATTTTATTTTTCCTTGACAATGAAGTTCACTACAAAAAAATTAAAAAAATATGTATATTTTTATTTTTTTAATAAAGAATTAAACATATACAAAGTTCTTTTCTAAAAACACATACATGTTTGTTACTTTAATCAAATTTAGTATAAGCTATTCAAAACTCTAACAATTAATTCTTCAAAATTATATGTATTACCTCTAATGTTTAATTGTAGAAACTATGCATAGTTTATAGATAGTAAGTAAGATGAAAGAGCATTTATTTATGAAATAACTTTGTATCCATTTCAATAATAGAAAAAAATCAATTAGAATAATAAGATTTTCTAATTAAAAAAGGAGAAAAAAAAGACGCTCATTCTTTCTTTTCTCTTTTATATTTTAAAATCTATTTATGTCCATATTGAACTATTTTTCTAATTTATTGTATTCAAATTCTTCTTTTCTTCTTTTCTTTTACAATATATAATGTTTAATTTTGATATAATAGAATTAATCCTCTAATATCTTTAATTTTTATCATTGATAATGTGATCCTAAAACTTATAATTAGTGAGAATAAGTAAAGAAATTTATTCTCTTTAGAAGAATGAAACAATATATTTTTTACTAAACTACATATAATATGGCAAGAATGACATCTTATTTATTTTTTATATTTTAAAGACTCATCTGAGATTTAAATTTAAATTTAAAAGAATTTATTTCATTACAAAAACATGCTTGAGCAGTAACCTAAATATGCAATTGATATTTATTTTCAAAAGGGGTATTTTTAAACAAAGACATTAAATTCTGTGTCTACTTTTTCTGCCATTATTTTTTTTTCTGTACTATTGCAATAAGTATATAATTGGTCCATATTTTACATACCATTTTTGTGGAGTTCTGTTACATGTTCTGATAGAATGTGCACATCAAGAAGGGAAAAGCTTGAGTCCTATCACAGCAATCAGATCCATACTTTATAAACAGTGAGAATGTGTTTGTGTACGCATGGTTGAAATCAAAGTAAAACGTTGATAGTTCACACATTATCAAAAAAAATCCCCATTAATCCATTTGTTATATCAATTGAGAAATGTAATATTATCTGTCCGAGTCCTTGACCAACACATATTACAGTATTCAAGAAGGATCCGGAGCGTCCCAATGCACACCGTGAAAGCCGTCCAGCTGCATCTTTTTCAGCGACAAAAGATGGAGAAGTATGAAGATTCCGTTAGCATCACAGAGTTTAACCAATCTGGATCTCTGCAATGGGTCACGGAAAACAAACAAAAAAGAATAACATTTCAATAATGGCAGCGTTATCTGTAAACACTCGGATCATCCGAGTTCCATGAATTTACAGGCCTCACCACAAAAACCTGGCTCGCCCCGAAACTACCTCGTCGGGTACACACAAACGGTGGAGCAAGTTTATCGATCATAGGCGGGTGTCGATGAGCTTGCAGGCTTCCAGAACCTGATGCTAGGATTGGAAGCTGGCCAAGGGAGAAAGGATTCTGCCCTTTGTTGGGAGATTTGACGGGCGAGAGCCAAGCGAATGGATGGAAACAATGACTTAGCTGATGCACATTTTTTCAGATTTGGATCCGATGCAGCGAGCGTCGTGGTGATGGTAACGACACCATGGAATGATAACAGGTCTTGCTCTGTCAGTGGACCCGTGCTTGGAATCGAAACAACAAAGGGAGATGTGCGTCAGTGGTCGGACGTCACGACGTGCCTGTTCAAGTCGGAGCTTCACCAGCAAAAACGGGAAACTAACCTGACATTGTTACATGCTTGGTAAACTCGGAGATTCAACTGCAAAAACTGCTAACTGTGGCCATGTACTCACCTTTCTAACCAATGCATCGGGTATACTCCGGCTGTGTCTTAAAAAAAAACAGAAAGCTGGTACCTGTGCCGCATCGATGCGTGATTAAAGAATCGCGAGCTCGAGGGTCGCAATGGGCAGCCTCCAGTGCTGTGAAGGCAGGTGGGTGTGCTAGAAGACACGAGCGTCGAATGTCTGGAAGGGAAAGGCATTGATTCGGTGCCACCTTGTCGATCAGGGATCACGAATTCGTGATCCCGTTCGCCAGGCTGGGATTTGGCAGAGCGTCGGTGGGAGCCAGCTGGGGCACAATAATTAGCTCGGGTCTGGACAGGCCTGCACGTGGCCGGGGGTTCTAATCCTCTTCTCGAGAGCCTGTCTAAAACGGCATCGACTAGTCATTGCTGAGGAGTCTCCGACCGCGGGTCGGGAAGAGAGATTCGCTGATCGTCTGTTGGACGAAGGTTTTCTGCGATCTGCTAATATTGGGAGTTGGTGGAACCGATGGCGAAGCGGGGAGAGAGGCTCGGGGAGGCCTTGCAGATTTGCGGAGAAGCGGACGAGGCTCTTGTGATGTTCCCTGTGGCCCTCCACGATCTCCCGAACGGTTCGTGTTGGTTGGGGCTCATCACGATGTTGGCTGATGCGGATGGAGTGAGCCAGTGGCGCAATTTGTTGTGTGGTGTGTCGGTGGTTATGGTGGATTTAGGATGCATTGTTGTCTTAGTTTCCCGGTGACGCTTCGATGAGTGTAATCTGTGATTTCACGGGATTTTTAGGCATTTACATGGATTGTGGAAGATTCTCTGATGTTTCAGGGAGTTTTTATGCATTTTGACGAGGCGGGATAGTTGTGATGAGTGGCTGCATTAAGTGCATCCCGTAAGTTCTCAAGTTTCTGTAGATCGTCGTCTCTACTTTAAATGCCTATTTCATTTTTATGTAATTTTCTTTGAGTGGTGTAGTATTTTACAGGGAGGCAGAACTTCTCCACTTTACTAGAGTTTGGTCCTAGTTTTGAGGTATTGCCACGGCGGGAGCGGGGCCTGAGAATTGTTAGACTTTTAATATGACGAATTGCTGTGTATTGTCAAGTATCGTTGTAAGTTCGTTGGTTGTGGATATATTTGGGTGCGAAAGATTTTCATGTTCATTAGGCGATTGGAGCTTGTGACGGCATTCAGGGCTTTATAACCGCTGCAAGAGTGCTGGGGCATTTGACTTATGGTAGTAAGTTTAGGGTTATGATGAAGGAAGAGGTTGGTTTATTAAACGGACACTAGCAATACATCTTGTTAATTAGTTACTGGATATGCGCCTGAAGTGTGCGAACATTTGGTTGCTATGCAGGTTTTCTATTTGAAAGGGCGGAACGCACCTTGCTCAAGGTAAGAGAAGAGAATAATCTCCATTGCACAACTTCGTTCTCATTCTCGAAGCTCAAAATTCTCCCACACGATGCCTTTAGCAAGAGTATTGGGAAGCTTAGTAGCTTGTACTGAATACCCATTGCCATCGACAGCCTTAAAATAGTTCTGAGAAGAAATCTGGATATATAATAGTAACTGCCTGTATTGAATTCCGAGTGGGAGTATATACGCAGTTTGCATTATCAACTCCAAAGGTACCAACAGTTCATTCGTCATTCCTTTAGCTGCTGTACACTACGTGTACGGCCTCTATGTTCGTGGAACAAGACCAAGCATCATATTTTGGCCCTGCTTCCTACCCCAACAGGACGGGTTTTCGAAGCGTTCATGCACTCTGCTGGTAGGAAGTTTCTCTTTTGCTCCCGCATTGTCGTTTATGCTAACCTTACATTATTTCTCCACATTGCCTCTAGTTCTTGTTTCAATGCTGGGCATTGCTCTGCATGATTAAGTCATTGTAAGTGATGCTATGTTAGGTCATACTAGCTAGAAATGAAACCTAATGGTCGCAATTTCTGCCATTTTCTTCAATTTGTGTTCTGTTTTGTTTCTGTCCAAATCTAGTCCTCACTCATCAAATCGTGCTCGCCCTTGATTTTTCTGTGGCCACAGCCAGTATGATGTCGTTCTTTACTAGGTGATGCTCTCCCTTTGCCATGAGGGACGGAATGGCGGGCGACATGGGAGCTAAGCTCTACCAGCTCACAACCCTACAGATTAGGTAATTTTTTTGTTATCACTCAATGGTCTTGATGTAAAGAGCATGTTCAAGATTTCTCCACATCCTTTCGTAGAAATTTTGGAGTAGCGGCTATGAGGGTGTTATTTGCTTTCTTGTGGTCAAGGCTTATGAGAATTTGAAATTTGTGTGGAATGCAGAGATCTGCAGTCTTATGTCTCCAGACTTTTTGTGCTAGTTGCGAACGAGAACTCCAAGCTAGTATTCTTAGTAGACAATGAGCCTTGGACATTACCAGAATATCGTTTTAGGCCTGCAGAGCTTTGGCAGCTTATGGTCACCCAGGTATACAGCATTTTCCCTGTTTTTTATGCTGATCCTTCTTTTTCGGGAAATGTTATTTTCTTCGACGATTTCAAATATGGTATTTATTGCTGATGCTTGGGTTGGGTCATCGCACTTATCTTTTGCAGTCTAGAGTCTCTCCTTTTGCTAACCGACGAAGGAGGGAGAGTGTCGAGGACTGCTGTGGTGCACTGGCTAACCCACACCAGGGCTTTGAAGAATTATCGACCTGGTCGAACTTTAAGAATTTGTTCAGGTCTCTTCCTCTTGTGAAGACCTCTCCTCAGGGGCTACACGGTTGCGTGGCCTTCGAGGTGGAGTGGGCCAGTGTTCGTGGCATAAATTACAGCAATGAGCTTCTGGTGAGTTGTGTGCAAGAGATAATCTCAAATTTCAATCCGAGGTCCATTCATGAATTCATTACGTTCATCTTTCAAATAAAAATTAGGCTGAGATCTGAAGTGATGATGAAAAACGATGTTTTGAGGACAGACGGACACGTCCGTTGCCATGGAAGTAAAGACAATGGAGAAGAGGGAATTCGACAATCTGGAACAAGCTCAAGCCTGGTATTCTTCAGAAAGGCGTGAACCATCCATGGAGACTATCTCATCAACTGCTGGAACTTTCTTAGGAGAGTGCTCTGTTGCCAGACTTTCGGCCAACTGCTCGGAGGGATGCTTTTGTAAAGTTTTTTCTCCGCGTTTGACTACGGACGACAGTGTCAGTATTGATGAGAACTCTGATGCGGATGAACGTGACGGGTATGTAGAGGATGATGTCAGTGATTATTGTACTGTGACATCCTTTGGTGAGGACATTTTAGACTCTGAGGAAGATTTTAACGAGAATGACCAGGAGTATTGGACTCCCCCTTCGTCGCCACACAGTATCCAGCGTCAATGCTCTTGGAGTTGGGATGTCTTCAAAGACAATCAGCAATACTTTTCACATGCAGTATGTAATTCACAGTTTGAAGAGGGGTATGACGAAGAAGATCTTGTAAATCGTGAACGGAATCATTGCGCTACTCCTTCGTCAGACGTTTTCGAGGGAGAAATTGATAGTAATCGGATTTTGTTGCCGTTGGCATCAAGGGAAGTTGTGGATATGAGTCAAGCCCTTGCCACAGAATCAAATAGCGCAGGTTTCATTTCGGAAAGGTGTTACTTGGCAGGGATCGATGATTGCCCTACGGAGACTTATGGAGACGTACTCATTGTTTTTAGGTTCAAGGATCCTGTGTTGCCATTTGAGCTGCAAAAGATTGCTACGGCGGATCCGCGGCTGCTGAAGATGATAGAAGCCGGGTTGCCCTCGTGGGTGGTTTTTTTGCAGTCATATCCAATTTTCTGCAAGCTATATCGTCCGTGGATGCGGCCGCTCTGTGCAACTGTCTACTTCATAGTTTCTATAGTGACAGTGTTAATTGGATTCTATGACTTATACAAGAATGTCCCTATCCTCAAGGCCACAGCAGCGCGCTTGTGCGGCCCGCTCTTCGAGTGGATTGAATCTTGGGAGATGATCTCACGGCTTAAGTATCTTGGGACCATGCTGATGTTACAGAACTTTGAGAAAGGTTTTCGGTGGTTGCTTATGTCAATCAAAGCTGTCAGACAATTATTCCAGTTGCTGATGTGGCCTTTTGTGAAGCCTCTGTCATTGTTGGTTGAAGTAGCACTCCCTGCCTGGAGCTTGCTGCTTGGAGTACTTCTGGGTGGCTGGAATCATTTATCAATGACACTGCAGTCTTTTTGCGATCTTTTTTCTTCGGTATTCATGGCTTTCAGCAGTCTTCTACGTTTCATAATTTGGCCCTTCTGCTTGCTGCTAAGCACTGTGTGGAACCTCGGTGGGTGCTCTTGCTTCAAATTAACTGTTGGAGGTTTGATGTTCTAGTAAAACTTTGCCTCTAGTTTAACTAGAACTGTACAGGACTTCTCATGTTTCAAATATTTATATAATCAAAACGAACTGTTTTCAAAGCATGTAGTGCAGTTTGATAAACTCCTTGTTGCAATTATGAATATTTTGCAGGCATTTACCCAATTTTGGCGGCAGTTTGGACATTAGTGAGTCTGCCTCTACAGGTGGTGCGACTTATCTTGTTACTTGCAGAGAACCTAACCGATGGGCTCGTGGACTTGATGCAATTTATACGTATTAGCATTGCTCCTGCTGCTTTAACTATCAAGACTGCCAAGGCGGCAACGCCTTATCCCTCGTTATGGCGTGCCCTTTGGAACGACATTTTTTCTAAGGTGAGGTCTCGTGGAGAATGGGCTGTTGAGTATAATTACGGCTGGTCAACCTCCGAAGGATGGGGGATTTTTGCCAAATATCAGTTGTATTGTAAAATGTCTCTGTGAAGTTCTTCTGAAGTTTGTGTTAGGTACCAGCTAATGTGCAGGTCACATCACAATGTTCTATACCACAATACTTCTTTCGATTTATGTCAAACTAATTCTCAAGGCTTAATTTTGAGAATGCAGCAAATGTTCAGCTTTCATTAATCTTATGTTTAATTGAAGTCCAGGGGTTCTTCAAATTACTGAAACTGAACATGATTTACATTAGCTGGTTTATGGTGACCGAGGCAAAGTCCCGGTGTTCATTGCCTTCTGCTCATCCTCGCGCCTCTTTGGTTTTGGTGCATCCTCCACAGGTCTTTCGTGCTATCAGAAGCATTCTAAATGGCTTGGTGGCTTTTTTAACAGCATGTAATCGGCATCGGCTCAGGTCTGTTGCAGACACTCTTATACACGAGATTTTCTGAAGCTATTTGTTGAGGCTAAGCAACGAATATGGTTGTTTTTCTGCTCCGGAACATTCTCTTTTGTAAATAATCAGAAATAAGGGAACTTCTATTTTGACTGTGTTACTGATTCATGTTCTCGTCTGCAGTATATACAATGAGGCTGTGGCCTGCCTTTTCCGTCTCAATTTAATGATTAAATATGGACAAAGCGTTGCTCTGCGAGTGTGGCAACAGATGATTTTTTTGCATGCCCCAAGTCCACTGGAGTCAAAGGTCAAGGTATGTACTCGTTAATTGAGCAATTTGTCACTATTACAAGAATCATCAAATGAACTGAAGTAGTATTCTTGCTATTTACTAAGAAATATAATTAGTACGTGTCGCGGTGGCGAGTGCATTATTTAGAATCTGATAACAGTGAAAACTTTTATATGAGTTTCTTTTTAATATGCTCTAAGAATTCGTTAGTCAATCCTTTGTGATGTCTGGAGATTTTAGTAGTTACTTTCGTAGGGTTTTCGCTCACTATGCTGCTTTTCATACGTACAATCACTTATTAATGCTTGCTCATGTGTTGAGATCCATCGATGACATCTATCATTTATGTCCTTCACAACTGTCAAATGCTCTTATTCATCACGTAAATTCTCCTTCATTTGCAGGTGGTTCGTGACCAAGAGTTTCGATGTAGGTATTTTACGCGCGCCCGAACAGCTCTAATTATAAATATTATCTACCAACATAATATTATCATGTAGGACATCTTTGTGTTGCGGGAGCGTTCAGATTTCTTACATAATATCTTGATTTACATTGCCTTGGGGTGTTTGTTTTGCAGTCGAGAAGTTATGAGATTAAGAAGGTGTGTAAGTGCGCAAGCGTGACGAATTCTTATCTTTAACTGCAATTCCGTCAACTCTAACCTGTACATAAGCGAAGAACAGCGACTAGAGTGTTGGCGTTTGAGCCGGAGTAGATCTCACTAAACCTACCAAACTGTACTAATAGACTGTATATTGCTCATTAAAATAGAAAATTATGTCAAAGTATGACTTTGGCAAGGGCTTATCCAGCTCTAAGTAATTTAGAAGCACAAAAATGGCTACACAAACCTCATATGCAGTGGTAGTGACCCTTCTCAACTGGGGTTTAATCCTACTAGATTGCGGAGGGGAGAAGATTTGGTTGCATTTGCAAATGCAATATTCTGCTATCCTTGAGAGCTTGTTTGAGAGTTTATCATCAGATTGTGATGATACCTCGAAGCATCGTTTAGAATATGAGGGTTTTTAACTAGCTGGCCAAAAAGGTGGCGGTCTTCAGCTCACCGGTGATTTGTTCACTTGGCTGCCTCTTGTATGCTATCTTTAAACATTAATTTTTTTACCCAAATGGGTCTTCCTGGCTTTGAGTTGTCAGAGTTGTGGTTTTGCACGCACTATTGAGTGAATATAATTTGGTTTTTTGCTCCTTCATCAACCAAAATTTGTAATATTTTTCTTGATCATGCTCATCTTTTCCAATGCGAACTGTTTGTCATGCATAAAGTTCTCGCCAGACTCATGCAGGCTGAGGTATGTTTTTCATTCATTTCGGAGAACTAATAATGATATAGGTAACATTCAACAAACTGTTAAACAAATTCATATTTTATCCTAAAAACATAATTTCTTAGATTATGAAATCTTTCAATTTGTCAAAAACAGAATGGTAATACTATTGTTCTCTTCTCAATTACAATTTCATGTAATATCAAACCATTTTGTGATATTCTAAAGTTCCATATAATTATTTTTTGTATATTATACTCAATTAAGTGTTTTGCTATCCATGATTTATTCCATTTTTTTAATAGACTAATCATGTGTGTCAAGTATAAAGCAAGTTTCTAATTAATTTATCTATATTCTATCAAACCTTTCTAAATCAAACTTTTCTATGGAGGTCACTCTTTATATCCTCTTCAAAAATGAGTTGGTTTCTTTAAATCCAAATGGTCCATAAGCAAATTTTCCTTGATTGTGACCAAATCTTGTAAAAAAAATTAAACAAAGAGATGTTGTTAGTAAAAATAGCTTGCTTCTATATGAAGGCTTTCCATGGCCTCTATTTCTAAGGATTAGATGCCAACTTATATAAGATAAAGGTGGACTAATCTTAATTCTACAATCTTAGTGATACTCCTATAAATAGTATAGGATGGCTTTGGAGTTTGGAGAGGTTAAAATACACATTGAATATTTATTTGTATACCAACTTTTTATCTCTAAGTATTGATTGCAATGCCTTTGTGCTTCTGTAATTATCTTTTTTCTATGAATTTGATTTAGCTAATATTTCTATAGATTCAATTATAAAGAGATAGATTGCCAAATAAGAAAGCTAAGACAAACATAAGCATTTATCAATTAGTTTAGACTTAAACATTGTTTTAATGCTTTGGAATTTGTGAATGATACCAATTGGTATTAACTACAATTGTTACAATCACACTTGCCAATGTTTCTTCTATCCTAAATTTAAATTAATTGGTGTTGATATCCAATTTAAATAAAGAAATTATCTTCTTCTTATTTTTTTATAAACTTCTTCAAGTTAATAGAAAGTCAAATTAGAAAGCTCTTAGCTTTAAATTCTAACATAAATCAATGCAATACTCTTCCAATTGTTAATATTAGTTTGATGGATTTTCAACAATAGAAAAGTCAAACACCAAGTAAGCAATCCACTTAAAATATAAATCTAATCATTTCTTGACTTTAAAAATCTCAAGTTGCTACAACATACCAATTGGATCTAACACAATAACAACTGAAATTTAATTTAACTTCTTGATAATATTACCAAAAAGTTGTTAATTCTAATTTGGAAACTTAACAACAAAACAATGCCAATTAAATAACCACTTATCTCTAATTCAATAATACAATTTCTTCTAAATCTTGCTCTATGTAAACTCCTTGAAACAATTCACTTTTTCTTTTAATATAACCTTGCAAACTCACTTAAAACATCAAAGATCTTTTAGTTTTATTTTAGGAAAATATATTTTATTACTCAAAGATCCAATCCTTATTGGTGACATTTCTTCAACTAGAGTGTGTTTTTTCTATTAGAATTTTTTTGATTTTATATGGTGTTTGGTTACAACAAGTAAGTAAAGCTTAACAACCTATTTAGTGATCCATATTTATCTAATAATCTACTAATAAGCTATTAAAAACTAATTATCTGATTTAGAAATAAGAACTTAAAACTTTTTTTTTTTTTTTTTTTTATCTATTAGCTAAATTATGTGATGTTTATAGTGCCATATAAACCAAATAAAAACTCATTTTTTACAAGTACAAAATTTGGACCACATGTCATATTATTTTTAAAAAAAAATCATGTTCTATTAAAAATTTGTCTATAATAGGAGAACCACCATCTTATGAGCCATTCTAAGTGTTTGTTAAAAATTTGAGAATAAATATAGAGGCTTTAGATATGATTAAATAAAATGTATTCAAGACTTTTCATATAAAAAAAAATGACATACTACATATTATGTATACTTATTTGATACAATTTAAATTGAATCATAAGATGTATTTGCTAAGAGTCAACTTGTCAAGATCTTTTTGTCCAAGATTAAAAAGTGGCTTTTGGAATTGGCTACATTAAGAATTATTCTTAACTATAATGGCAAAGCAACTTTGGCACACAAATTTGATAAGATTAAGAAGTATAATATGGCTCTTTGTCAACTTGATACTACTGACATGGTTGCTTAAATGACATATATTTTTAAGCTTAAAAAGATTACTACTACTAAAAATAGCATAGTAAAAATCTAATTTGAAAAGACTATATATTATTAGAGATATGGTGAATTTGGCCACACCAAGAATAATTCTAATTTTTTAAAAAAGAAGAAGGCCTAGCACATAAAAAAAACCTACACAAAAAATAAAAGTAGCCAAGATAGAGAAGAAATCCAAAAAGAAGTAATTGAAGCACAAACAATGTAGTAAATTCAACCACAATAAGGATCATTGCTTAATTATATATCCAAACAAGCAGCATGCATCGAATAAAGAAAAAAATTTAAAAGTCAAGATTATAAAGTTAGAGAAGAGATTCAATGATGTCGCCTTACTGAACTAAGACACTCAATCTCATGTAACTTCTTAGAATAGAACAATTTTATTAAATCCAATTATTTATATGCTTGGTGTATTATGATAGATGGTAGATACAACTATTAGATGTTCTCAAAATGTAGCCAAGACTATAGTGTCTTTTGTATATAAGGCATTAGAAAATATCTATGATTGTAATAGTAATAGTGACAATTCTATTATTGCCTTGGACATACATATTTTTCCAATAACTACCTAGATAATAATAAATAAATAAAAATAAAATTAGATAAACTTCATAATATCTTAAGGAGAAGCTTCATAGATGCAGATTTACTTTTATACATGTTTGTAGGTGATTGATAGCTTGAAATCTTAGCCAATAAGTTGGCCATACATTTGTCAAAGATAAGAACTCAATGAAAGCAAATAAACAAGTGAGACTCTCTCAAAGAAATATAACTAAATAAAAATAGAGAAGTATGTATATTAAAAAGGAAATTGGAATGGCTATTGTTAAAAGACAAGAAAATTAGAGACTCTTGAAACTAAACTAGAAGTAAGAAAGGAGTTAATAAGAGTGAAGAAGGCTTCACTCTTGCCTTTATATATACTATCTACCTAGGATCTATGTAGCGACGTTCTATAGGACCTCTAAAAATATGTTGACTTTGCTTGACTCATATCTTAACTTATTGTCATGGACATACATTGGAAGATTCTTCGAATATTCTTCTAGAATATTCTCTAAAGATTCTCTAAAGATTCCTTTAGAAGGTTCTAGAAGATTCTTAGAATATTCCCTAAAGATTCTCTTAGAAGGTTCTAGAATATTCTGATAGATTCTAGGAAGTTGCTCGAGAAGTTTCCTAATTAGTAGAAGTTGTTGGAGAAGCGTCCTAGTTAGCGGAAGTAGCTCGAGAAGCTTCCTAATTAGTAGAAGTTGTTGGAGAAGCGTCCTAGTTAGCGGAAGTAGCTCGAGAAGCTTCCTATTCAGTAGTATATATAGGAGTCGAGGCTGAAAGGTTCTTCAGTCTCGACAACACATCTCTTGGAGTTCTAGCTCACCCTTCTGGTGTTGTTCTTGTACTCATCTGTTTAATCTAGTTTTGCCACTTCTTCTTGAACTTCTTGTTAGATTTCTTGTCTGTATTTTGTATCCGTGACAATTTGTCGAGATTGCATTTTCACTGATATCAGAGCTAGTTCCTTCTTGTTAGAGAGTGGATTACCCCTCTTCTTGAAGGTGTGCTAGTGTTTTAGAGGTTGCGGATTACCCTCCTCTAAACTGATATCTCTTCTTTCTCAATATTAGAGCCTTATTCTTCTTGGAGAGAGTGGATTACCCCTCATCTTGGAGTCTTAAGGCGTTTTAGAGGCTGTGGAGTACTCTCCTCTGAACCAATATTGTCCTCTTGTCAAAACTCTTTTTTCTTCTTTCTAAAGGTTAGCCGAAGGTTAAGACGTTAATATGGCTGAAAGTTTGGAATCCAAACTAGACGCCATCATAAATGCTCTTGCCTCTTTGTCACATAGGACAACAGAGATCGAAGGAGTCATGGTAGGACTCCATAACAATGGAGCATCTGGGATAGCGCCATCTAAAGCATATCAGCCTCAAACTTCTGCGCCAGAAGAAGCAGTTCTACCTTCAGTTCAACAAGATCGAGTAGTCCTATAACGAAAGGAGCCTCGAGTTAGTCTTTCGGATAAGTTTGATGGAACTCGTTCCAAGTTTCGAGGTTTTGTCAACCAAATCAGGTTGATAACAATTTTACAGCCCGAACGTTATCCGACGGAGGAAGCGCGTGTTGGGCTTGTTGGAACCTTGCTTACAGCACAAGCTTTGTCTTGGTTTACTCCCTTGTTCGAGAAGCGATCGCCAATCCTGAGCAACTTTGAAACGTTCTTGGAGGCGTTTGCAGAAGCATTTGGCGAGCATGATAAAGTTCGATGGGCTACAACAAAGATCCGATCGCTACGACAAGGAACACGCTCTGCATCAGTCTATGCCTCGGATTTCAGACAATTGGCAAGTGACATTAATTGGGGTGAAGAGGCGTTGGTGAGTCAGTTTTATTGGGGCTTGAAGGATGATGTGAAGGACTTGCTGTTATCTCTTCCTGATCCTCAAACGCTCAACGAAGCTATTAGCCAAGCTGTAAAGTGTGACAACCGCCTATTCCAGCGGTGCCAAGACCAACGTCCAAGACACCAAATGATTCGTTACGACGTGACTATGTCTGCAAATAGCTTAAACTCACATTCGGAGGCAACAGACA